CGTGTGTATCGGACTGATTGTGAGCCACAGCAACGCGTGGCGGAGCACCCCTAGTACTTTATACGTTCCAACATACTTTAATTTTAATCAACATACGTTTACATTCTAAAAAAGTACTTCTCAAAAGAAAACAAAAGAAAACACTTGCACGACAATGAGTGAGGCATTTTTATACCACAAACCAACAACACAACGTTCTGAGTAATTTGCAACAAGAAAAACAAAATTAAACTGATGAAGTCTTTTTTTAAAGCTAGTCGTTAGACAGAAATGAATAAAAAAATCCCGTTGTCGTCCAGTGTGAAGAAAATTCGTGTGTCGTCATTCTTCTCCAAGATGGAAGAAAAAAAGAGTATCGTGTAATCCAGAAAAGGAAGGAAGTAGGTAGATTATATTTTGTCGACGTGACAACCATAGCTTTTATCCACCCTCATCTCTCCTATTCCCTCCCTTCCTTTCCTCCTCCAAACTTCATAGCAGGTTCATGAAACGTATTTAGGTACTCGTTGGGCTCTTCCTGGGCGGAAATTGCGGTGCGGATTTTGTCAGCTCAGCCACCACCACCACCACCAATACCAATCACATCCACACCCAGTACCAAAAAAAGACCTATCCTTCTGATAGCTTCACCAGCACGGTGAGTCTTATTTCTCTACTGTATATGATTCCTGTATTAAATCCTGTAACCGTATACACAGAGTCGGATTAAGGATCATAACTTCGAGTTCCAAACTATCCTCTCGTTATTTTTAAGAGCCCTCGATTAAAGTCTTAAAAAGTTGGTACGTTTTAATACAAGTTTCTCTAGATAAATTGAACAACGAAAAACATTTTCCTGTGTACCCAAAATACATACATTTATGCACGATTTATAATACGTATGTTAGTTCTCTAACCGAAGTTATAAATATTCAAATATCATTGTTTCTAGCTTTACCCTTAATTCGACTCTGATCGCTTTCTTCTAATATTACTATTATAATTATCATTATACTAAATGCTTGCTCGTATTTGTCTTCTGTATTGCATATATCGCCTGCTTTGTCTGATCTATATTTTTATTATTTATAAATTTATTTGCCTTGATAAGAATACTTTTAAAATACTAAGAAATTCGTTTTTTAGTATTTTTCGTATTTAATCTAATTTCTATGCTTGTCTATGAAATTTGGGTGGGAAATGTGTAAGTATTAAAACGTATGTACGATTAACGATCAACGAGCTCAAAATTTCTATTCTAATAAAGAATTTGTGTTTTCCTTTTTTAATTTACATTCCAAGTGTTTAAAAAGAATCGAATAAAAAGAATAGAAAATAGACCTCTATTTAAATCGACTAAGTTCCGAGCATCTCTTCTAACGCGTTCGACAAAAGTCCAAAATGTTACCTATTATAAGTCAAGTTTTTATTAGTAAACTTACAATTTTATCCTTGCAAATTTAGGATAACTATCATCGTTTAAAATTCTTGAAGTAAAGTTGTTAGTAAAGATTTTCTCTCAAATGATGATAGGCTTCTTGAATTTGCAGGAATGAAAATTGTAAATGTATACTAAAAAGAAAAAGAAGAAAAAAATATATATATTTTATATTATAGAAAACATTGAAGTTATTTAACACGTACACACTTTTTACACGATCCACAAATAACAATTTTCATTCAGGTAAATCTTGTAAAAAGTGATATTTAGTAACAATTGGTACGATATTGTAATAAATATTTTTGTCTATAAATTTATATTAATACAAGATTGGATAATAGATATTATAATATAATAAATCGAAGAACGTTCATTATGGTCGATCTCGACTTTATATGCTCGACGTGTATGTTCGATTTAATTAAGCGAGCTATAATTAGATTCTAAACAATGTGTACATAGTATATGTATGTATGTRTGCGTATATTATTGTTCGAATGCAAACAGAATTATCGAGATATTATGTGCTTGTGTATCATATTTATGTATTCTATGTAGAAGCATTTTCAACCGCTAGAAATTGTACTTCGGTGTTTCAAACATGCCAAAATGTAAATTGCAGCGAAAGTAAAGTTTACTGATTTTTTCGATGATAGGTATACTTTCCTTATTGGTATATAATCGGTCACGAAAAGCAAGAAATTACTTATCGAGTTACAAAATAACTGTCTACCGTAATGATGAAACAGAGATAATGGAGATTAACGAGATAGAAACCTACTTTCCTTTCGCTATTTTACGTAGATATAACTAAAACAAAACAAAAACAAAAAAAGGCACACAAAAAGTGTAAGTCTGTGTTTTGTATAGAGGATGCCTGCAAATGCTTTGACGTATTTATACTTATCATGGATAATTTATGCATGTTTTTATTACAATTTATTTGTGAAAAGCCTTGCTTAGAGGATCTAGGATCTCTCATATGTAGTGTTGAAGGTGTATTGACCAATATCCTACGAATTACTTGGTGATAATCTCTTTCTCCCTCCCCCTCTCTGTTGTTTTTTCTTTCTTTTTCTTTTTTTTTATTCTTTTTCTTACAAAATTAGTATGCATCAGTATTCAAAAGAAAAATGTAGTCCTTTTAGTATTTGTATAAAATAGTAGTAATAGAGCAGCATGGAAAACGAAAGTTGTATCATTTTTCAGAATGTAAACCCAACTGGTACCAATATGAAGATGAATGCTGGGAAAAATGTCCGATAGGAAGTTACGCCATCATAGAGGAATCCAGTGGCAGAAAGGTATGCGGGAGCTGTCACTATTCCTGTCTGACTTGTTCTGGAGCTACCGATGGTGAATGCACGACCTGTCACTCCGATTCCAAACTATTGACAAATTTCGGGGAGTCCCAGTGCGTTCTTCAGAATTTGGCCTGGCGATTCGAATCAACAATGTGGTTTTATTGGTTAACCATTTTCTTCTCGATCAATTTGATGATAGTTGTCATCGCGACGATTTACGTAGCAGTCAAATGGTGCATCAAGAAGCGTCATTCTTCGACGTACGATTACAGTAAGGTCGCTTATTCTAGCAATGGCGACGCCCGTAAGGTACGACTGAACGACTGCATTTCTGATAGCGAGTAAAACGCAACCGCGTAAGATGCAAATTTCATTATCCCTGGAACCCCATGGAAGTCTGTCTGTTTTCCAACAAGGACACACGACCGACCGTTTTAATGGAAATGAAGTGAATGAGACGGACGTGGAATTAGAGAATATCTATTAGATCGTATTTCAAGAGAACTAATGTTGAATGTTCGTTATAACAGGATAAGAACAGCGAGAATAACATTAGATGTATTTATTTTCTGACCGACGTGATCGTAAAACATTCCAATTTGTCTAATTACGTCGATAGTCCTTACTATAATAATTGATCTTTGATAAAAGATTTTTTTTATAGTCTAATGATCGTTTTATTACGATTATGTAACGTATATGCATATTATAAGTGTGATACAACAAAAAGGAATACAGAAATTTGTCTTTTTTTTTTGTATCCTTTTATAATCAACAAATACTTGACGTCGTTAGTATTTTATTTGTTTATTTATAATGATAAATTACTACTAGCGTATTCAAAAAAATGTTTAAAGATACTTCTTTAATCGATTGTATTACTATTAGAACGGTCAAGTGAACCATTTGTTCAATATTGTGATCAATTATTACAAGTTCGATTTATATTACATAATTGTTAAGTAAGATTTCGACTGCACAAAAATAAAACTAACGAAATTTAATATATTAGCGTTGCTCTATGAACATTTATATATAAATATATACGTATAGATTTAATAATAATGTACGAAATACTGTAAATATATTGCTAAGAAAAACTAAGTTTTTCTAGTGGTTTACAGCCAAGTAATGTGATATATCATGTTACTGTTAAATAATTGCACACTATTATTATACACTTGTAATAATATACATATATTATTATTCTTTGTTACCACAAATGTACATGTTCCATGCAATAAGAACTTTGCGGTTTTGATTGTTTTCTGTTATATGTGATAAAAGATAAAATACAAGTGAAAACAAATATTTCGATTACGGTAACATTGTCATATTTTATTATCTTCCAATCAGTCTCCTAATCCTTTTTCATAATTAAATTCGGTATTTCGACGAGAATGTTATTATCAAGTTTAATTAAATCAAATGTATTAAATTCCTGTTTTTTATTTTTATATGAAAATTAATTTTTTTTTACAGTTTGACACGTATCATTGTAGGCTATTTTGAGTTCGATTCTACAGAAACTATCGTTATATATTATAGCAATATAAAATTAGATTATAAGTATAATATTTTCTATATAATTTTACAGATCACGAATTTTTAACAAAAGTAATGACGTATTCTTTTCTCAAACGTTCAAATTATTTAGAATATTTTTTTTGTTCGTAATAAGAACTTGATCCAATATATCCAATATTACCTTTGATTTCAATAGTCTATAAATAATCGGCCAATTCATCGGAAGAAATCGTTTAGTAAAACGTAAATCTGTCAAAGTCAGAGGATGGCCTACTTCGGTGTTCAAATAATTGATTCTACCATCCAGAAGAAACGTGCTAATTGTGTAATCAAGCATCTTCGTAACAATCTCACACTTGTAACATGACGCCCTTGAGGTTCAATAATTAACAAACCAGTCCTGCATGATATCGCAATACGAATGACAATAGTCGAATTAATTGTCAGAGAGAAATGTAGTACTTAATCAATGAACTATATATATTCTTTATATACGATAATAATAAATATCCTTTATGTATTTTTTTTCTATTTGTTTATATAAACTACTAGCTTATAGAGCAAATAACAAATATATTACATTTCTACGATAGAAATATTACAAATAAATATCAGTAGAATTAAAACACAAGTTTCTAATTGAAATAATTAATAGAATATTGATATCCTAAAAAATGCTAAAAATTCTGTTCGAATTAAATAGTTTAGCAAATGGACGTTTTTAAATCATTTACACGAACATTAAATGATGATAAAGACGATCCTCTCTTTTTGATTCTTTTTGTGGAAATAGGAATAAGAATTCTACTAGCAACGAAAGGTATTTCGAATTCATTAAAAATCTAGTAAGAAAGAACGAAGGTCTTTGCTTTAATATAGAAAAAAAGAAGAAAGTCAGTAAATCGAGTTGAAATTTAATGAACTCCCGAGGAAAACGACTCTTAATAATGAAGTACAAACTGTCCGATAATTAATTAAATAAGTAAATACTTAAAAAAGAATCGTAATTCCGTTAGATCGAATCATTCATAAATCTTAATGTAAAAGATCTCGATGCGATAATAATACGATTACATTAATTAAATAATCGTGTTCTAATATTTTTGCATTTTTAGTATTATAATTCGTACAAATAAGGAACACATTTCGAAACACAATATTCCTATTTCCTTACGAGAAACTATCCAAAAGAAAAAGAAAACTTTCCTTATTCGAACGAATCTTTTCTTAAACAATTTATAAAAGTTCAGAAATTCCTTAAGCTAGAGGAAAACTTTCTAATGTAAGATCTTTTTCAGTTAGACCTTTCTTTTACATGCAATTAATGAGAGAAATTCGACTTTGACTTTTTATTATAAACAAAAAAACATAACAAATTCTCGTATAAAATATAAAAGTATAGTTCGTTCCCAAAAATAATTACTCACAAAGGAAATTGTCGATAATTCAGAAAAACAAAAAATAATAATAAAATATTGGAAAAATTTCAAGTGACCATGAGAGTGTATAGCAACATCTCGTTGAACGATTGTCCAGGCTAAGAGTTGGAATTCGTTTCGTGTCATTGATTTCTAAACCACAGTGTACTCCTCAAGGACGTAATCATCAGATGTTTCGTATGACACAGAGGTCCCTCTTCTGTTGACCACAACTGTTTGTCGTGGTAAAGTGAGAGAAAGAGAAAGAGAGAACAAGAGATAGAATAAGAGAGAGAGAGGAGAGATATTTGTGATTCGCGATTGCTCTTGAACGAACGATCGAATCGTTAATAACGAGCACGATCTCGGGTATAGGCTGTCGTGGTTATAACGGGCTGCCCACATGTCACGGTTCGATGACAGACGTACGAACGCAAAGCGACCAGATTAATTGGGGATAATTAGCAAACAGTTACGCGCTGCGCGTAACTCCCCACCCACCCCCTACTCTACTTCTCTCTCTCTCTCATTCTCATTCTCTCATTCCTTTCTCTCTTCCACTCACTCTTCCTCTGAATTTCGAGTCGAAAACTAGACGCCAAACTCAAAATAAAGCGACAACGGAACACGTATTTCGCTTACCGATCGCAACGTCATTTTCGATGACGGTATTGATTGAGTGCGGTTTTACGGTGTAATGGTCTTTCGTAACATAGGGACCGAATGTAAAATATCAAAGTGACTTTGTAATATCTCTTGATTTAGATATGAACATAACCATGTCGAAAATTAATTAATAAAATATATATACATATATGTGAGTGGAGTATGAAAAATACAAGTTAAAATTAATTTAAATGTCTGGATAAACAAACTTCAGAGAAAAGTAAACTCACAACGACAGAATTGTAAAAGATAGGAATTTTTATAAATTCTTTTTGTTTTTTTATCACCTTATGAAACAAACGTACGATCGTTAATTCGTTTTTTTACAGTCTTAGAATATCAAGGAACATAAACGAGTTTATTGTATTAAATAATTTCAAACTATCGATCGCTTTTATCGAGTTAAAGTTTTCACAAATTATTAAAAGAAAAAAAAATCTTCGGAAATGTAATAAACGGTAAACTCAATAAGAAAAAAAAGTAGAAATTGGAATTGGTATATTCCTTGGATGAGAATTGTTAAGCTCTAAAATTTGAATCAAATATAACGGTCCAGGATATTTCTTTTCGTTGATTTCGCGAGATAAGCTCGTCCGTAGTTCGAATAATCTTGCAGTTTTTCGTATGGTTAACGAGGAAGAACCGAAAGGTAGGAAACTTTTCTCTTCTTGGGAAAGAATCGAGGATGAACAAGGAGAAAAGAAAGAAATAAAGAAAGAGATAGGAAACGTATAAAAGGATCGGTCGACTATTCTCGCGTGTCGGTACTCTCGCAACCCAGTCGTTGATGACCGTTTCTATAGTGGTGGTAGTAGTTGGTGGTGTAGTGATGGTAGGGGTGGAATTTGGTTTCGTGCCAAACGCCTATGTACTTTGAGACGACGGTGTGGAGTATTTACTCTCTTTTTATTTCATGTCGTGCTTAGAAGGGCAAGTGGAGAGATGAAAGAGAAGAAGACATAGAGAAAACCAAGGAAAAGGGTTCGGAGATAGACTTTGAGAAAAAGAAAGTTGCAACTGTAAAAGAAAAAGAGAAAAAGAAAAAAAAAGAAACTCGACATAAGAAATATAAAGAAAGAATAAAAAGTAAATATGAAAGAGAGAATATAAGAATACATGCACCCCACGCAAGGAAGCAAGCAAGCATACAAAGTTTATTTCATTTTGCTAAGAATATAAGTTTACGTTATAAAAATTTTCTTTTATGAATAAATGTACAATAAGAGAGTTTATCGTTATTCTTTATTATATCGTTTGTTACAAAAACTTTATTTCAAAAAAAAGGTCGAAAATATTTAAGAATCTTTGTTGTTAATATCATAAAGAATCAACTCACACGAATACGTTGTTAATAAATAGAATTTTTCTTTCTATTAAAAAACACATGTAATGTGGTTAAAATAATTGAAATATTTCTGAAATTTAAGGAACATCTACAAATTTAGTTTCCTTCGTAGAGTATCGACTTCTTTGCTATAACATCGACTCGTTATACTCGTAGTTTTCAGTTAACGAATCGAAAAAAACTTCGTTTCCATTTCCATTTTAACAACTCTAGATGCATCTCAACTAAAACTACGATTCCAACGAGAAGGAAGACGACGACGACGAGGAGGACGTGGAGGACGAAGATCTACGCGTAGAGTTTCGTCGCATACGTGGAAACCCAGGGCATCATTTAGTCGCATTCAATGTGCAATGCATACCGCAAATGCAAATACCCGAATAGACCGTTTTCCGCTTACGAGTCCTATTGTTCTATTAACCAGCGCAGTCCGTCGTTCTCTTAACCAACTCGATGACTTCCCTTACGTTTTAGTAGAAATACACCGAAATTTCGCTGACCAACTTTAACGTTTATTAAATATACGTGCCTTCTATATATCTATCTCTCTACTCGAACTATAACGTACTTACACTTAGAATACTTGTTTATTTATGGTTTTAGGTGGAATCCTTCAAAAACTAATTTCAAGATTAATATCTTTATATCTTTATTACTATTACAGTAAACAAATAGAGAAATAAATTTAAAAAAAAAAACGAAGTCAATTTTACTTTTTAATTTTATCATTTAGTAATAATGAATGAAAAAACCAAAAAAGAAGTAGAGAAATAAAAAATTTAATCCTTTTATCACGATCACTGACACATTTTAATACATGCATACCTTCAAAAGAAAGCACGAATTTTCGTGACGCAGATCTTTTAAATAAAGAGTATTAAAAAAAGAAATAAAAAAGAAACATCGGGACAGTCTTTACAGTGGATGTGTGTGAGTGTGTGTGGCAAACGAGACTCTTTATCGATTTTTCTTTCTTACCATTCTCATTATTCTTTATTTTCCCTTTTTTTTCTTTTTCTTTTCCTTTTCTTTCCTTGAACTGGATGATCCCCAAACGAGGTTGGGGCGAAAAGCAGCATAGAGTAAAGAGAAAGGAAGAAGACGTCGAGAATGGTGGCGGCGTGCAACACTGAGTTATTCAATGGAACGCAGAGAACAGCTCTTCTACGTATATCAGGAAACAGTTCTCGCGGGACTCGTAACATCTCGTTCCGTCTAACCCCCCTATATATATACCTTATCGCCAACGTGAAACGTGCTGCACGAATTTCCTGCCGTCCAACTCTGTCCATCGACTCTAACAGGACTCAGTCAGTCCTTTTCCCCAAAGACGGCAGCAGTGCTTTCGACATACGATGTACTTCGTTAGTCA